AAAATTATTTTGAAACTGACGTTACATTGTCAGTCATCAACTAATAATATACCATATTGTATCTGAACGTGCGATACGTATTACGCAGGACCCCCACCCCCACCAAAAAAGTGGGGCTTGTTTCAGCAGCGTTCTTTTTTTGTTTTGTACTTTTTACTTTTTTTTTTCTATCCAAAGTTATATCAACTATAATAATCGACAGTGCTGGTGCTTACTACCCTGAAACTCTTCCCCCTCCTACTAGGGAGGTGGAGCAGAAGGGTTAATTTCAATAGCGCTTCTTTTTCTAAATTATAATTTTCTTTCTCAGTAGATTTTTAAATCAATTAAGAGGCTAATATATCTCCGTAAAATCTTTTTTTTTTTTTTTTTTTACTAATAGTAATACTAACCAGAAGTCTACGGTTATTAATTAAAATAAAATTCTAATCCCTATTTTTTTTTTTTTTTTTTTTTTTTTACATTTCTACAAAGATAAAACTGCGAAAATGATTGCTTAAAAAATAAATGTTAAAAGATTTCAACACTTGAAAAATTTGACCGAAAACTGGAATACTGTTTTTAAAACAAATTTTTAAGACAGTTCCGTTCGTGTTGTGTTGAAATCTTTGTAAAACTTTTTTCTTTTTTTTTTTTTTTTTTCAGCAGAGATCCGTCGGCGATTAATCTTTATGGAAATGTAGAATTTTACGACTTAAACAATTAAATTAAAAATCCAAAGAAAAATAAGCAGTACTATAGGTTCTGATCAGGCATCTCGGCTTCAGTTACTTTGACACTAGCGTAATATAGCTTCCCTCAGCCTTTTCTATAAATACTTTCATGGTAATTGTTCGGATCAACTTTCCTCTATGGTACCTAGACTTTATGAATTTAAGCGCAGTACTAGATTGGCGGTGAGGTCTCATCAATTTACAATTAAATTGGTTAGATGTAACCGTAAGTTCTATGCTAACAGTTTCTTCTATGGCACTTCTCGCCTGTAGAACTCTCTACCGGTTTCTTGCTTTCTAGTCAAATTTGCATTTAATTTTTTGAAAATCAATGTCAATCGATATCTCCTGTCTTCTTGATTACTATTCTATTGTTCTTGCTCCTTAATAATGTTTCTCTTTTTTTCTCATTCTTTCACTCAGTAACCCCTTGTGTCTTAGGGGCTTTACTGCCTCGCATGGGGTGAAAAGATTGAAAAATAAAAGCACAAATAGTTTTTAAAGGATGAAAAGTGTTTTCGGATTTTGACGTTATTCTGGGGTCTGTTTATGTTCAAAATCGAGAATTTGTTTTGCGTATGCCAAGTTAGAAACAAACTATAAAATTCAATAGTTTTTTTATCCACAATGTTGAATGTGTTACAATTATTCAACTTTTTAGCAAGAAAAAAAAAACAAGTTTAATGTTAAAAATTGTTAATTTATTTAAGATGGAATGATCTGTTAATTTGTATTTAGATACATTGTATTTATTTTCAATTTTTCGAGTCCACATATATTGCATATGAATCCTTATTGTGCATAATTAGATCACAGTAAAATTTATATTTTATAAATACTACCTTATGACACTTGGGATGTAGTAGAATGGAGGCTCTAATGTCAGATTCGTGTGTGTGTTTACGAGACGCTTGCACTGTTCCTGTGCGTTATTGTCGGTTGAAAATTTATAAAATATTTCTCATAAAATAATTTTTCTCGAAAATAGTTTTCTCAAATTCACTGACCATCGCTCATTGAAACATGGAATATTCATCATCAACTTGCTTTGGACATGATACTTCAATATTATTGAGGTTTTGCGTTTTTCTGACAATAAGAGATAATTACCAGCTGTCGGCGAAAGCCTATGCGGGTAAGTTTTTTTAAAAAAAATATTATACACAAACCCCAGGGATCCTTTCCACCAGGCACTACCTCACCTTTAGGAAGAGTCTGGGTTTATTGCCCGCCGCCTGAGGCCTCCTCCAAAGTAGAAGGGCTGAAGAGGCTTTGGCATGTTTTTCCACGGTATTGCCATTAAACCCACTTGACACCTCGACCTTGTGTCACATTCGGTAGCGAGGTGGGCTGAGTGAAAAATACCCTTAATAAAATACCCTTAATGAGATATTTTTTCGTTCTATTATCATTGGCCTTAGCCACTCTTTTTTGTGCGCGTTTTTAAGAACACGGACAAAGTGTCTACTACTTCGGACTGTCGAGCTATTCGCTTTTTGGCAAAATACTAATGGTTTTAATCAACTCGCAGCTTTCAGACAAACAATACTTTTCTCTGTCAAATTCCGATATTAACGGATATCAATTCGACCTGCATTATTTATTATTATCCGGACTGCTATCCTCATCTTCATTGCCATATTCACAACGTTTCGTCCGTTGTACGCTCCGGCCTTCTTCAGGTGATTGGATCTCTGAGATGAGGTATTATGATTACTTGCATTATTTATATTATCCGGACTGCTATCCTCATCTTCATTGCCATATTCCTAACGTTTCGTCCGTTGTACGCTCCGGCCTTCTTCAGGTGATTGGATCTCTGAGATGAGGTATTATGATTACTTGCATTATTTATATTATCCGGACTGCTATCCTCATCTTCATTGCCATATTCCTAACGTTTCGTCCGTTGTACGCTCCGGCCTTCTTCAGGTGATTGGATCTCTGAGATGAGGTATTATGATTACTTGCATTATTTATATTATCCGGACTGCTATCCTCATCTTCATTGCCATATTCACAACGTTTCGTCCGTTGTACGCTCCGGCCTTCTTCAGGTGATTGGATCTCTGAGATGAGGTATTATGATTACTTGCATTATTTATATTATCCGGACTGCTATCCTCATCTTCATTGCCATATTCCTAACGTTTCGTCCGTTGTACGCTCCGGCCTTCTTCAGGTGATTGGATCTCTGAGATGAGGTATTATGATTACTTGCATTATTTATATTATCCGGACTGCTATCCTCATCTACATTGCCATATTCCTAACGTTTCGTCCGTTGTACGCTCCGGCCTTCTTCAGGTGATTGGATCTCTGAGATGAGGTATTATGATTACTTGCATTATTTATATTATCCGGACTGCTATCCTCATCTTCATTGCCATATTCACAACGTTTCGTCCGTTGTACGCTCCGGCCTTCTCCCGGTGACTGGAATTTCAGACCGAAACTTTTATTTCGTCCACCGGGGTAGATTGTTCTTGTTCCACGTGCCATGCCTCTTCCGTATGTCTGAGTTATTTCCCTTTAACTCAATTCTTCAAGTTTTGGTTCACCACTGCTGAAGCCTGGTATTGAACTCACAACTCTTTGGGTCTAGTCAGTGGATCTAACCAAATGTCATTATCCACTTGAGGACTTAGAGAGGAATTGTTAATCTGAGAGCTATTCCAATTCCATTTGAATTTACTTACGCGTAAATGCGCTTGGGAAAGGTATAAAGCCACTTCTCCAGAAGCTCCCCACCCCCCAGATATAGGTTAATTAGTAAAACTTGTAACACTAAACTATTATTTTTTTTTTAACTTCTTAGAATCTAAAAAAATATTTTCTGGCTTTAAATAACCTGCAAAGGGTTGATAAGCCGTAGAAGACGAATCAATCCATCAGTCACTGAAATATTGATTATCTACACAGACATGTCTTTTAGATTTATTTCCGTTCTTTGGAATATAAATGTATAGAAATTACAGTGGTCATAAAGTGAGGGATCAGTTTATATATTGATTGAAATGTAGAATTAATCTCCCACTTTAGATTTACAGTATAATTTCTTGTTTGTTTATCAACTTCTGATTAGGTATGAATCCACATCATCTTTCCCAGCCATGGGTTAATTAGTAAGACTTGTATTGCGAAACCATTATTCTATTTACATTATTCGGACTATTGTCCTCATCTCTGTTGCCATATTTATCACAACGTTTCGGCCGTTGTACGCTCCGGCCTTCTTCAGGTGGTTGGAATGTCGAACTTAAACCTTTATTTCACTCACTGGGGTAGACTGTTCTAGTTCCATTTAATGGATGTCAGTTATCTCCTGTTAATTTCCCTCTGAATGTTCTCCACTGCTTTAACCAGGTATTGAAATCACATTCTTTGGGTCCTGTCGCCTGAATCTAACCAACGCCTTTATCCACTCTGCCATGTGTCCTAAAAAATATTCTTACAATCTAAAAAACAATTTCTGGCTTTAAATAACTTGCAAAGGGTTGATAAGCCATAAAGAACGAATCAATCAAACCCCTATGAAACATTTTTTGTTTGCAAAGTTTTTATCATTTTTTCCAAATTGTGTGACGATGTAATAATTCTCGGTTTGCTGTAACTCGCTATACCGCAGTCATAATTAATTTTGCACAAGTTAATAATTTGGCACTCTTAAAATGAAAATTTCTAACAAAAATGGCTTCCGTTTTTTTTTTTTTTTTTTACTCATGCGAAGAATGTTTGTTTTTTTTTGGTTTTTTTTTGTTTTTTTTTTCTTCTAGTTCGACGTGGATTATATTTTGGGTGCTTTTTGACGCAAATCAGTGTTGGGTTCGTGCAAAATTAGTTTTTAAATTTTTTGGAAAATAAATTTATCATGTAAACCTTTTGCACAATTTGCACCTTAAATTTAGTTTTTTTTTTTTTTTATTTTTGGTTTTTTTTATTTTTGGTTTGTTGTTAGTTTGTTTCTTTGTTGTTTTTTTTTTTTGTTTTTTTTTTGTTGGGGGGGGTTGGTTTTTTGTTTTTTTTTGTTTGTTTTGGTTTGTTGTTTTTTTTGGGGGGTATTCATTTACACTATTTATATTGTTCGATCTGACGTCCTCATATTTACTATCACATTCACAACGTTTCAACCGTTGAACGCTCCAGCCTTCTTCAGGTGATATTTGTCCGAACAATGTAAACGGTGAAAATATTTATAATACCTCATCTCGGAAATATATAGATATTTCTTTATTTATAAATTTGTTTATTTTATTTAATTTTTTTTTTAATTTATGTTTTTTGTAGATTTCAGGGAAACGGCTTTCGTCTACGCCATTACGGCAGCAGGTGTCACCTATTCAGTAACCCAAGCCTGTAGTGCTGGTTCCCTGTTGCAGTGCACTTGTGACCGCAACCACATTCGCGACAAATCGACTGACGGCCAGTGGTCTTGGGGCGGCTGTGGGGATGACGTTAATTTTGGTTATCTGAAATCTAAGGAATTCATGGACGCTCGTAAGAAAAGGCGCTGTGATATCACTACCAAAATACGAATGCATAACAATGAAGCCGGAAGACTGGTGAGTAAAATATAACAAATAAAAAACCCCCAAAGAACTATTCCCACCAAAATTCTTTAGACAAGGTCATGTACCAAGTAAATGAGTGTATTGATTTTCTAAGCAAGGCTTAGATGTGGCACATGGCCGAAAGTATGGGGAACCCAGTGAGGATCGAACTCACTATTCAGTTGTAACAGTTTTAGCAAGACCAGCTTGCTAACCATTACACCACGTCGAAGTCAATGAGTTTTTTTTTTTAATTTTTTTTTTTAATTTTTTTTTTTTATTAATTTTCACTATAAACCGATTAAGCTTTTTTGTGTGCTTCAGTATGTTACATCGTTTTTTGTTTTTTTTATCTCTAAAATCATAACAAAAACAGCTCGTTCGATTTATAGATCCTCTCTCGTAAACCCCAAAGACCGGATGTTATATAGTTATTATATAACAGTTATATTTAAACCTAACAACCACGTCTTCTGCTTAAAAAGGGATGGCTGGCAGGACTTAATATAAATTGCCTCAAGTGAAAATCTGATTAAGCATGGCTATAGAACCAGGCACATTGACGGTTGTTCAATAAGAATTAAGCTATTGTCGAACCAAATCTTGGCAAATTATTCTTCAAAATATTAAATGGTACGTGTTAGCCTCCTACAAAAATCTATTTGTCTCGGATTAAAATGATATTCGGTGAGAGTTCTAGAGTTTGTATTTCTTGAGAAAGAACAAAACAAAATCCTCAATTTTTGACACAAAAGATGTCTGCGTAAACGTTTCGGTTCGAAGTTTTCATTAATACCTCGTTATCTTCTAGTTTACCTGTTTAACCAGTTTAAATCTCATTCTTTTTTTTTTCTTTTTTTTAAATATTTTCAGGCTGTGAAAAATTACATGAGACGTGTATGCAAGTGTCACGGCTTATCTGGTTCCTGTACTTTACAAACATGCTGGCGAAAGATGCCGTTTTTCCGGCATGTTGGTAACAGACTGAAAGAGAAGTTTAAAGGTGCTGCAAAGGTGATAATCTCCAATGATGGCTTGCACGTCATACCTGAAGGCGACACCATCAAGAAACCAGACGTGACAGACTTAATCTATTCGGAGAACTCTCCAGACTTCTGCCGTCCAAGCCGGAAAGCTGGATCCCTAGGTACAAAAGATCGAATATGCGACATATACTCAAAGGGTGTTGGCGGTTGCGAAGTCCTTTGTTGCAATCGTGGTTACAAGAAAGGCTTCGTCACTCTGCGAGAAAACTGCAAATGTCGATTCATTTGGTGCTGTGACGTCATCTGTCAGGAATGCATCCACAATAAAACTATTTACACGTGTTTATGACGGCAATGGTCACGTGACATCAGCGAATGAAATGTCGTCTGCGTTTGCAGTCGAAACGGGACAAAGCAACAGGGAAGGGGAGTTGGTAAGAGGAGAAAAAAAAAAAACAAAACAAAAAAAAAAGAAATAAATAAACAAACAAAAAGAAATGTGGGGTGTTAAGAATGCTTTCCGACATTTGAACAACATACTGAAAAGATAATTTGGTCTTTTTTCAAAAAAAATAAAAAATAAATAAATAAATCTCCTGGTAAACACCCGGCATAATTTGTCTATTCTCTTTGGTGTTATATAAATCAGTTCAGAAACTAATGTTGAATTTTTGGCAAAGGAATTAAAAAAGAAGAAGCAAAAACACATTTAAAATGTAAAAAGAATAATATATACAAGCTGATAATTTTTATTATTAGCAAAAATAAATAAATAAAACAACGAAACGATTTTATTCCTTGAAAGAAACTACAATCCTGGATGAAAAATAAATCCATGTCAACAAGGCCACCAATTACCAAACCCAGATGACCTTAATCTCGTTTTTTTTTTTCGTTCTCGTTTTTTTTCGTTCTCGTTCTCCTTTAACATGCCATATCACTTTATGGTGTAGATGATAAAGGCTCTCCACAATTTCCTGTCCATTGTGGCTCTAAGAAATGCCTCTTTACCCTCAATCTTTGTGTAAATGAATGACCAAATTCGTATAAGTTCGAAGAAATCAAAAGATTTAGGTGCAATTATTTATTTTAATTTAGTGAACACTGACATTCTAAAGAGTGACAGTGCTTTAAAAGCGAATGACGTAAATTTCTGTCTAAGTTAAATCTTTTACTTTATTTAGAAAATCAAATTTCTAACAATATTACAGTTCTGAAAAGAAACGTTCTTTCTTTTCTCTCTCATTTACGTATATGCATTCATATTCTCTTGAAAGCCGACAAGTGTAACTAATAGATTTCTTTCTTCTGTCGTTTTTCATAACTTAGCAAGCGTAGTGTCTGGAAGATTTCCATTGAATTAGGTGCTTTCACAGATTCGCTAAAAAATGAGTATCCCCCCTAATGAATAATGTCCCAAACTTAATAAAAACAAAGTTTTATCGTCAAAATCTATACGATATTAGTAAGAACAACCAAAGTTATTTTTTTATTACTTTTGATTATTACATTACAATTTTGATCATTTTTAGAAAGTTCAAAATTTAATTAAAAATCTTTTGTCAGTCTCTTTTTTTTTTTTTTTCGTCAGCTGGTGTGACCAAAGATTATTTTGGCATCTTTATTTGCAGTGAAAGACACATTGATTTGGAAATTCTTACAAAAATCAAATAATTACCAGATGTAAATTGAATCTTTCAGGAGTAATTCCCAAATGAATAAAATTATTGTAGAAATTTTTCTTTTAGAAAATCATAGTAAAAACATTTTTCCATTCTCACACTTACTTAATTTGATGAAATTTCGAGAAATTAATTTTTGTTCCACTTAATGTCTATATTATACGTAGAACTCATTGGATAATTTAAAGTTTTTTTTTTTTTTTGTAAGTTAATGAAAATCTCAATCATAAAATAAAAAAAGCAATAAAATTAAGACATCATTTAATTAGAGAAGCTTTTAATTGATATATACGATATATTATGGACACTATTGTCTGAAGAAAAACAATTTTGATAAATAATGGAGTTTTACAAAAATCGGCTGCATTTTTTTTATTAATATTTTAATTAGAATAATTTGTAAATTATTTACATTATTCGGACTATTGTCCTCATCTTTGTCGCCATATTTATTACAACGTTTCGGACGTTGTACGCTCCGGCCTTCAGGTAGTTGGAGTGTCGAACTGAACACTTGATTTCGCTCATTGGGGTAGACTGTTCTAGTTCCACGGGCCATGTTTAATGGATGTCAGTTATCTCCTGTTATTTCCCCTCTGAATGTTCTCCACTGCTTTAACCGGGTATTGAACTCACACTCTTTGGGTCCTGTCACTTTATCCACTGTGCCATGTGTCCTTGAGGACATATAGCACAGTGGATAAAGGCGTTAGTTAAATCTAGTGACAGGACCCAAAGAGTTTGAGTTCAATGCCCGGCTAAGGCAGTGGAGAACTTTCAGAGGGAAATTAACAGGAGATAACTGATAACTGACATCCATTAAACATGGCACGTGTAACTAGAACAGTCTAACCCCGTGAGCGAAATAAAGGGGTCCAGTACGACATTCCAACTACCTGAAGAAGGCCGAAGCGTACAACGGCCGAAACGTTTTAATAAATATTACAAAAAAGATGAGGACAATAGTCAGAATAATGTAAATAATGTACATAATACCTCATCTCAGAAATATAGACAGATACTGTATAATTTTTAAACCTTTAAAATGTTTGTATTACTTTGTCCCGTTTAGGTGATAATGCTATTAAGTCAGGGCTATATTTACTAATAATTAATAGAAAAGCTTACTACAATTCGCTGATCCACAATATTTTGAAAATAATTTTTATCTTTTTTTTGTGTCTAAACGTGCTGATTTGGAAATACGGACGTCCATACACATCAGAAAATAAGAGCAATAACTATAGTAAATTTAAAATCTAAGTCCGTAAATTCAGTAAAACTTTAGATTAATGGGAATATTTAAAAAAAAATTTTTTAAGATGACTGGATAATAGAACAATTATTTAAAAAAAGGCGCTCATGTAATATTCCTCAAGTAATTTTTAGATATATTTCCCGTAGAAAAAAAAATTCGGTAAACTTCCGGCTGTCAACAGCTTAAATATTTATCTACTTTTGTTAAAAAAAAAAAATTGCATATCAGCGATATTTTGAACTAAAAAACATTTGTTTCAAATCACATTTCATTAAACTTTAAACCAACTAATATTCCCCAAAGAAAGCTTTTAGAAATAAAAAGTGCATTTGATTTATGAAAAATTTTTGTTTTTTAATAAAGAGAATCACCTTGTGTTGATAAAACTCGACTTGCTTCCGCCTTGCTTGGGGTGAAACGCTTACAAGAAAACAAAACAAAAAAAACAAAAAACAAATTATGAAATCGTTAGAGAATTAAAAGAGGCTAAAAGTATTTTAGAAGTATTTTTCCTCTTTATACACATAATGAGGGCAAAAAACCCTCCGTGCCCTGAGATATGTAGAAGCCGATAACTATTCAGGATTTTATTTTGTTTTGGGGAGAATTAGAATTTATAATTCTCAATATTTAAAGGATGAGGAGCAATCCATTCGAATTGCAGGATATCCTAGAAGTCCAGTCAGGCTTTAAAATTCTTGCAATTTCAGTGTGTTTTTTTAGTATTCAAAAATAGCTTTATACAGAAAGAAAATGTTAACATTAAAGTGATACGACTTCACTATCTTCTATTTTTTCACTAGGAAAATATATACGTCACCAGTCTGGGACGCGTGAGGCCGGTTCGCTTAAAGAGGCGAGCCAACCGGAGGTAGTAAGCTTTGGGTTCGTCTGTCTGTTTTAAGATAGAGGATTTTTTTTAAGCGTTTCACCCCAAGCAAGGCTAGAAGCCACTAGGACGCAAGGGGTTACAGAAGATCAGATAGGATTGATAGAAGAAAGGATGAGGAGAAGGGTAGTGGATAGATCAAGGCAACTGAAGATGTCGATTGACATTACATTTGAATAGCTGGAGATTATAGGTGTCAGGGAAACTGGAATAGGGAAGGGAGTTCCACAGGCGAGAGGTGCGAGATATGAAGCTATTGGTGTATAAGAGACGGCTACATTTAGGAGTTTCGACAGTGAAAGGGTGAGAGCGGGATGCCAGCCTCGTAGGGCGCTTGAACTCATGGCGTCTGGGAACCAGTGAATGCAGTTCCTCGGAACAATTGCCATGAAAGTATTTGTAAAATAGACAGAGAGAGGCGACGGCGCGTCTGTAGGAGAGCGACTGTAGACGAGATGGCAGAACAGGGCCAATTATATTGCATATCCGCCTCTGGATCCTATCAAGAACCACGAGGCAAACAGAAGGGGCTCCAGATCATATATGGCAGCAATACTCCATGCAAGGGCGAATTGTTGATTTGTAGATCTGGAGGATCGATTCCGGGGAGAAAAATTTCCTGGCACGGCACAGAGAGCCAACTTTCCTTGCGGTGGACGAAGCAATTGACTCAATGTATTTGTTCCATCTCAAGTCAGCAGTCAACGTGAGACCGAGCAGCCGCAGAAAGGTGCTCTCGAGAATTTGAGCCTCAGACATTCTGATGGATGGCAGGGAAGGATCTCTGTGGTGATTAATAGAGAGCAGTTTTGTTTTTGAAGCATTAAAGTTGACTAGCCAATTCCTACCCCAGTTCACAACATGCTTAACCCTATCAAACGCTTTGGAGATGTCTAGGGCCACAGCACGAGCTTCCCCGTTATTTTGAAGAGCTTAGTGGACAGTTTCAGTGATGGCCGTAAGTACATCAGCTGTAGATCGGGCAAAGCGGAAGCCATATTGCTTGTCAGATAGCAGATCACGGGATGGGAGATTCCTGACTTTAAGAATTCTCTCGTGGTCATTTTGACAGTTTTATTGGTTGCTGGGAATGGCGTGTGTGTGCTAAGTGTATGTTATCTTTTATTCTTTTGGGAGTGTGTGTGATGTGTGTATATGTATATATTTGTGTGAGTGTGTGTATAAGTGTGAGACCTCAACACCTCTGCAAGCATGTCTGTCTTGTGTGGGAGGAGAAATGTGGGTAGGGCTTGATTTATGGGCTTACATTAATTCTATCTATGTTGTTAAATTTGTGGTTAAGCCTGTCTGGAGGAAGTGTTTTGAGGCGCAAAATCCATTTGTCTTCATGTTCCTCCTAGTTTTTTCTTAGATTATCTTTTCTGTCTATTTCTATTTTTTCATTTATAGTGAATTTTGCATGGCATTTAAAATCATATTTTTCTACACAGAAATGTTCTACAGGTAATAATCTTTCGTAGGGAGCCGACTTTATGTGGCTATGATAATTATTGTGTAGTGAAAGGTCCATTCAGATTTCCCCATATATTGTTTCTGGCATAGTGTGCATTCTAATAGGTAAATTATGTTATGACTTCTACAGTTGTGGTAGATTTTGAAAGTAGATTTAGCGACTGAGCTAGTGAACGAATTGCTATATCTAATGTGGTTACAATACAGGCTCCTTATATATTAAGTCATTTTTATGTTTATACATTCTTTTTTATAGATACAAATATTTAAGTAAATGCTCTGTTTATAATAAACAGTATTAACAACATTTACCGGCTTGAATGTCCGAGAAATTGTCATAGAAAATATGCGACCTCTGACAGGAATCGAACCTGTATCCTATACAGAACCGTCATATAGCCTGACGTGCTTTTACCGATTTCGCCACAGAGGAGCGTTTCGGTTAGCAAAGTCGATATTTCTGTTTTTAAACTACAACTTTCCATGATTTTCTCACGTACATTCATATCTGCTCGATGCGTATCCAAATGTAAACAAATGACGTCACACATTATGAAATGGACAAAGTCCGACAATTATTTTAAGGCATTTTTATGTTTATACATTCTTTTTTTAGATACAAATATTTAAGTAAATACTCTGTTTACAATAAACAGTATTAACAACATTTACCGCTCGATCCGGGATAGGCAGCGCTCCACATAAAATAACCCGCAAAGTAAGTGGAATTTTAACTCCACTTCTCGGCACTATTAGTCCATCACACATAAAAAATTCAGGTGACCTTTTAAACAAATTAAAAAAAAACATAGACATTAGAAACAAATATATGGCTAGTTTAAATATAAAATCTCTCTATACAAACATCCTCATAGAGAAATGCTTAAATCTACTAAAAAAAACTTAAAAAAGGCAAATTTAAATGACCTCTATCTACACATAAAATCATTAAAATATGCCAACTAATTACCAAGCAATACTTCT